CTAAATCTCCATTCATTCACTTTCGCTAACAAGAAATGCATTTGCCTATACCGAAAATAAGAAATGGTACTCCAAATTCTTCTCTCATACTGGGTGTACCTAATCAAGTCCGACGACCCAAACCATAGCGACTAAAGGATGTAGGCTCGACTACCTAATCCCCAACCCAACGGTCGAGCCCGACCATCGACGGCGACAAGGAGCTGTTGCAGCTTCCTTCGGACAGCGACCGAAAGAGACACCTGTTGGTAGCGAGCGGCGATAGAGGGAGAAATCCAGCGACGAGGTGGCGTGTCCACCAATAGCACATGACACTGGGGAGAGACGAGATAGACGATCGATTTTGGGCGATCTTCAATCACAGATCTTGAGAGTTCTAAGTCTATTTGGTTTGATTTTGGTGTTGTGTGTTTATGTGTGTGGTCGTGAGATGTCTGTCCAGCCCGCGGTCCATGACGGGGGTGGGCCGGGCTGACCATTAATAGGCCCGCAAAGTTGGCGGGCCAACCCGTCCAGCCCTGCCAAACGACGGGTTTTGGCGGTCAGCGGACGATAATTGACTACACTTGTATTTCATCCTAGACGATCTCCAACTGAAAAATTCATTCTCAACCATAACTGTACCCAAAAGAACTATTCTGGCAATATTTTTTTTCATCAACTTTTACAACTTTTTAATACTACCCACATATTTTATAACTTTACAAATTAAACCACATTATTATTTTAAATTTGATTAGCAATTTATGTAATAAAATTAATTATAATGTTATATACATAATAAAATTGAAGAAACAAGTAGGTGAAAAATAAAATAAAATGAGATACAAATAAATGTACTTGGTACTTCTTTTTTTTTTCGAAACGATTGAGTATATATTAAACAACACAAGGAACAATGTTCGAATACAAACGGGGCTAAACAGCCAATACCAACCTAAACAGACCAAAATGAAAATGAGAAGACACGCTAAGAAGCGGCCTAGAATGGCTCAAACAACAACCAACTAAGCTATAAAGATGATCTGACATGCCACTGCATCAAATGCCTAGCCTGCAAACCATCTTCAACTTAACCAGTCAACTCAAAACTAACAGAAACAAGGACAGACACAACTATCAACCAAAGACCAAACTATCCAAAACATATTAAAAAAAAAAAAAAAATAGTCTGCACAAGGAGAGACCCAACTATAAATCTCTGAACTCATGTCATTCCTGTTGTGCTCTTTTGATCACCACTGGAATGGGCATAAGCTTCTTCTCGAACATCCACAAGTTTCTGGACTTCCATAGCTACCATAGAAGATATGTAGTGAGCTGAATTCTGTCCTCGGCTATTAGAGTCTTACCAGTTGCACGTAATAGCCACCACCAGGTTCTGAATTTGCACCCTTGGGTATTCACCCCATCCCAGCTGACTGGCCCCATCTTCCACATCAATTGAGCTCTGGAGCAGTAGAAAAGCATGTGCTCAATAGTCTCTGGTTGCTCCCCACAGCAATGACAGAGGATATCAACCTCAAGGCCTTTTTTCTGTAGATTGGTGTTCACAGGAAGAGTGTCTGTGATACATTTCCAGAGAAAGTGCTTGAGAGTGCCTTTAACTTTCATGTCTCAACCTCTAAGTCTTGCTTTCCTAAGAGCTTTTAGATTTTGACTGCTAATTGGGATACCAAGTTTGAGAACTTTCTGATTGATTAGATAAGAGTATGTGGAGGAAACGGTAAAGGTACCTTTCTTTTCCAAACTCCAGTAGGCCCTGTCCTATCTAGATGGATTGACATTGTTAATGCTCAAAATGGCCTGACTATCTTCATGACTGAAGAGCTGTGCTTCACTAGCCAAGAATTCCAGGCCATACCATTGTCCAGCATCAACTCTTTTACCCAGGTTATGTGACCTTGTGCAACAACAAGTAGTTTGGGGGAAGAAAGGGGCATGGAGGGCACCCAGTTCCAATTAGCAATTCTGGTATCTGCACCATTCCTAATTTCAGTTCGGAATCCCTGATCAAATGTAGGGAGACAATCTAACCAAGTATGCCAAATCCAAGATCCATTTTGAGTTTTAAAAGTTTCAAAATGGAACAGTGAGGACAATATTTATCCTTTAACACTCTGTTGATCAGAAGTTCAGTTTGAGTAACAATTCTCCAAAGTTGTTTGCAAATGAGGGCTTGATTAAATAGATTGATATCCTTGAAGCTAATTCCACCATCTGCCTTTGGAACAGAGAGAACTTGCCAAGCTTTCCAATGGATGCCCTTATCTTGAGATTCACAGTGACACCACCAGTACTGAGCACTGATGCTAGAAATTGCTTTACACACTGAAACATGCAATCTAAAGCAGGACATTGTGAATACAGACAATGCATTGAGAACAACTTTAATAAGGACTTTTTTGCATGTTGTTGATATCATTTTGTTTTTCCAGCTCCAAAGCTTAGATTTCACAGAATCTATGACATAGGCAAAAATGTTTGATTTGGATCTGCATATTCCCAATGGAAGGCCCAAATACCTGGTAGAGGTTTGGATTTGGATTCCTTGAAGAGCAGCATATATCTGGTTCTG